GATCGATGGTCCGAACATCGCTCTTTCGAATGGTGAAAACCGCAGGTCTAAATCTTGTTCCTATCAAAACTTATTCACAATTTAAGACTGGTCGGTAAGGGTGTGTGGGTGTGGGTGTGCATGTGGGTGTCGGTATGTATGGGTATGGGTAGTTATGAGTGTGGATGTCGTTCGATGGAAGGGAAGACCTACATCAACAGTCATATTCACATCAACATTCACCCAAACACCATGGTACGCTCGTTTGCTGATATTTGCCTTCTTCTCTTTAAAGCAAAGTCGTAGCATTCATCATGTTTGCGGTCAACATCAATGGAGAGAGAAGCGAAACGAAAGCGTAAAAATTTGAAAAAGAAATATTCGCTGAAAAAGTGACGCACGGTGTGGCATGAGCAATTATTATTGGCGCAGGTGAAATTCTAAAGCCGTTGACTAGTAGTGTTTCCACTCTCCTCTGTTTAGTAATACGATACTTTTCCTTAGGTTAGTGCTTAACTGGGTGGGGTGTGGGTATGGATGCTGGTTGAGGGTGTGTATGCGTAAAAATACACCCATATCCTATGTCTCTGTTCAATATCTCTAATGCTTGATAATTATTTCTACAAATTTTAAATGAAGCGATTGTTTGACGGGTTTAGGACAGTTGAGTGTGGGTGTGGATCTTCTCTTCATTAACACCCATACCCACACCCAAATTCGATCATACAGCTTTTCTAGAGCTTTTCACGACGCATCGTTTGAAAAAGAATTCAAGGTTTTATCATTTATCTAGGCCGATATATATGCGAAATAAAAAATGTTACAACATGTAAAAAAAACTGTAAAAAAAAACAAATACCACTTGTCTTTTTAATAGACTTTTTACATATCAAACTGCATTTGATGTTCAATGTATATATACGAAAAGATGCAGCGCGTTCCGGGCTTTCTTCCTATATATAGTGTGCTAATACATAAAAATAGTATAGTAATAAAAAACAAAATAAATCAAAGGGTATATTTTCAATTTTCGTAGACTGTATTAGTTTCAGAGCAAAATATATTGTTCGGGTATGATTTTTAGATCAAAATGAACTCCACTATTTTCGTTTGATAACAACAACGTAAGCGACAAAATTTGTAGTTTCTTTTTTGTAGTTTATTCATTTTGTCATTGTCGAACAACAGAAAAAATTTCAAAAATATATCTTTACCCAGGCAGACAAACGTTAAAAAATAATGCGCTTAAACACGTTTAGATTCCGTAATAACAGCGTTTAAACGGCATTATTATGCCGTTTTCAAACGCGTTAAAACACGTAACCCATCTACAACATGTCAAAATCTGTACTTTTTTCAAAATTTACGCGTTTTTCTGTTGTTGTCGCTATTCCTTTTACGAGTTTAAACGCGTGCACGAGCCTAAAAATATTTTGATACAAGTCTATGTTAAATACAACTTGACTAATTTATTTTCCTTTGAAACTAGGTTACTACTTGCATCTTCTGTACACTATAATTCACTTACTAAACAAAACTAAGCTTTTTTATGTTAGTATATGTCTCATGAAAGTTAAAACATAAATAGGCAAATTTTAAGATAGGATGTTTCGTATCTATGAAGTATGCAACTAGGTATTGATATTTGAACTGATGTCCGACTTGATGAGAACCTATTTATAAACTTTAGAGTAGTGTCACATATCCAAGATTTTGGAGATGCCACCACGTCTCCCGTGGGAGATGCCGCGTCTCCAGCGGGAGACGCGACACCCACACTCGAGAGATGTGGTCATTCACCACTGGAGATGTAAGATCTCCTTTAGAGATGCACATCCTCCACACCCACACCCGCATCTCTCGCGCGAGATGCGGCATCTCCCGCGGGAGACGTGGTAGCATCTCCAAAATCTTGGATATGTGACACTGCTGAAACTTTAATATGGAAAAAATATTTAAAACATACTTGTATAAGTTTTATTTTCCTCATAAATGATAGATTCCATTTCATAGAGTCTTCATTGATTTTTATTAAATCTAATTCATGGTATAGTGTTTTTTCAAATTTATGTTCGAGTCTTATTTGCGTAATCTTTAATCTTATTGTTAAATGACCTTTTATATATTGATCGTTATCAGAAAGAAATCTTTTCTTTTAAAATGCACTCCTGTTTCTGTACGTAAACAATAACTAATAAACAGGCTAGACATTAAAGTTAAGGATATTTCTTTATATCCTTTATGGCTGGTCATACTATGACAATATCTTTAATTTTTTGTATTAGTTAATACTAACAACCAATCATTTGATGTTCACCGTTTTTTTCGCGAAACGCTATCTATAGTATTACTATAGGAAACATGTAAAATAATATTTTTTTTCAGACAAAACAGGAGACATTATCAAACAGATAAGTAGGAAAGGTATTTAAGAAAACGTGTTCAAACGCGTTTATTTGCCTGATCTCTGCAGAGGGTCCACCACATACTTCTACAACTCCTATACCCTTTAGACACTTTCACTACATTTTAAAATCCTATTCTAAATATTTTCATAAGCATCTTTACATCAGTTTGAGTAGATAACAAGAAGGTAGAAAAAAAATCTATCTCGCAACTAGTATCTACCACATGAACATATTCTTTTCTGTTTTTTCTCATTATTTTCCCAATCGATTTCTTTCATTCAAATTCTTGCTTTCTTGTGTTTATTCATTTTTTCATAGTTTTCTTTTATGCAGTAACTCATATTTCTTTCATTCGAGTAGCTTTATGATATTATTTCTGCTAGATAATCTATTACATGCATTATGCTGCAGAAATATCCTCATACACATAAGTTTTCTTTTTATCCAGTCAAGATAGGATAAGCATAGCCATAGGAGAAAGATTCTTGCGTAAAGAAAAAGAAATAAGTTCAGTACATTAGTCAACCTTGTGTTAAATTATTTAGTCATATGAACAGTTGACTTAGCATCAACAACTATATCAAGTTTCCCTTTTTTTTATTCACTCTTTTTCATAACAATCAGTTTTTTATGTTTTTTATTGCGGTCATAGGTTCGTAGCTAGACAATAGTAGAATAAGAGAATAGTTGATAACTTCAAAGCATATCTTACATTAGAATAGAATATTGTTAGACGATAAAAAAAAGAATGTTACGGAACTTGCGTATATTTCAGTTATTTATCCACACATAATTTATTCCAATTAAAATAAAGTAACTAAATTTTATAAGGTAGAGAGACAACTCAACACGTCGTGATCACTTGAAAGTTAGTTGAGACTATATTT